AAGAGTTATAGGGCAAGGTGTGGTGGCTCACGCTTGTAATCCTAGCACTTTGGGAGGCCAAGGTGGACAGACCACCTGAGCTCAAGAGTTCAAGACCAGCCTGGCCAATGCAGTGAAACTCCATCTCTACTAAAAATATAAAAAAATTAGCTGGACACGGTGGTACACACCTGTAATCCCAGCTACTCTGGAGGCTAAAGCAGGAGAATTGTTTGAACCCAGGAGGCAGAGATTGTAGTGAGCCAAGATCCCACCACTGCATTCCAGTCTAGCCTGGGTGACAGAGCAAGACTCTGTCTCACCAAAAAAGAAAAGAAAAGAAAAAAAAAAAAAAAAAAAGACTTATGGGTGAGTCATATGGGTGAGTCAAGAGATTATACCTGTAACCTAGCCAAGCTTGCCATTCTCAAGAACTAAAAGAGAATTAACTGAAGAAAGGTGAAACTGGTTAGAATGAATAATTAGCTACATGCTATAGCTAAACTCTGTGATTAAATGAATAGTCACAGGTATGTAGGCAATATATTAATAGTACAGTGTTTGTTAAGAGCATGAAATCTACAACTTAATTGTTTGAGTTCAAAAATGCAGCTATTTCCAAGTGATCAAGGTTAATACCAACAGTGGTAAGTCAGATTAACGGTGTGCATCTTTGATATGATGTGATAAAAATGGCATTTTATCTCTGTGGTGTTCCTCCCCAAAGCCCATAACCTCAGTCTAATTATGGGAAAACAAACCTCAATTGAGTAAGACATTCTACAAAACACCTGATTAGTATGATTAGTACTCCCAAAATTGCCAAGGCCATCAAAAGCGAGTAAAATCTAAGAAACTGTCATAGCCAAGAGGAGGCTAAGGAGACATAATGATTTAATGTAATGTGATATCTTGGATAGGATCCTGGAACTCAAAAGAGCATTAGGTAAGAAACTAAAGAAATGTGAATAAAGTATAGACTTTAGTTAACAATAATATCACCACTGGTTCATTACTAGTAACCCATGCACCATATTAACGTAAGATATAAATAACAGGGGAACCTGGATATGGGGTAGATACGAACTTACTGTAACATCTTTGTAATTTTCCTGTAAATGTAAAATGGTCCTAAAAAAATAAAGTTTCTTTTTAAAAAATGCAGTCATTTCACTTACTAAACTTGAGCAAGTTACTTAGCCTTTCTGTGCCTCACTTGACTCATCTATAAAATTAAAATTAGGTTGATAACGGCAGCAACCTAACTCAAGAATGTGCTGTGAAGACTAAATGAGTTAACATAGTAAAGTGCTTAGAATAGTGCCTCACAGTTAGGAAGCACCTGTGTAGTATCAGCAATGATTATTTTTTAACACAGACGCTCCTTAACTTATGATGGGGTTATGTCTGGACAAACCCAACAAAAATCGAAAATGCACTTTCAACTTAGGATATTTTTTCAACATATTGTGCGTTTATTGGGATATACCCCATTGTAAGTCGCAGAATGTACTGAATGCATGAGGCTTTTCCATCATTGTAAAGTTGAAAAATTTTATGTCAGGAAGCATCTGTACTTGTAAAGTGCAGTAAGATTGTATGCAAAAGGAGTAAAAATAGCCTGATGATATTAAACTCTAACTTTATAAATGAAATTGAAATACAATTCCTCCAACTGAAAATATGTCAAAAATTACATAATTTCAAGGTCAGTAAATCAAGGGAAGTATAAACCACGTTTATACTATGGTTACATGTTGGGCCACCATATAGATTTTGCTAGCCCTGGTATGAATTCATCCTCAATTAAGGATCTAGGATCCTATTGCTCACATAAAAGGTGACAGCTCTGTTACTGAAGGTCTAAAATTCCTCATGTTATAAGAAGACTAAGTCTGTATTTTAATACCAAAGTAATGACTTAGATGACTCTCATGGAGAAAAGGTAGCTAGGCTACAGAGGCAAGGTCAAAGTTAAAAGGCGAGAAACTTTTAAATCACTTAGGTGGATGGTAGTAGAAATTACCAGAAGTCTAAGACTCAGACAGATATTTTTCCTTGTTAGAATACAACTGATAAAACATGACCAATATATGCTGCCTCTTAATTCCTGCTTTAAACTGTCCAGATCCACCGTGGTTAATGAGATTCTGAGTATGTAAAACCACTTAGCTGTCTTCCCCTTTTTCTAATAACTCAAAATTTCAGTTTAAGTTCTGAAATTCATGTAAATATTATGACGGTTAAAACAAGTAATTAGTATATCATATGTATTTCTTCATTATGTCTTTAACATTTTAAGATATCAATCTGTAGTATGCTCAGAATGTTTACTACATATTTACTATATATTATTTGCAAAATATTATATAAGAAAAAGAATTGTTCCAAAGTTATATAAAAAAAAAAATTGATGAGGCCAGATGTGGTGGCTCACACCTGTAATCCCAGCACTTTGGGAGGCTGAGGTGGGCGGATCACTTGAGGTCAGGAGTTCAAGACCAGCCTGGCCAATATGGTGAAACAGTGTCTCTACTAAAAATACAAAATTTAGCCGGGCACACGTCTGTAGTCCCAGCTACTTGGGAGGCTGAGGCAGAAGAATGGCTTGAACCCGGGAGGCAGAGGTTGCAGTGAGAAGAGATTGCGCCATCGTACTCCAGTCTGGGTGACAGAGCAAGACTCCGTCTCAAAAAAAAAAAAAATTGATGAATGTCAGTGTGACATTAACAGTGACAGGCTTTGATTTGTTTACAGTAGATGAACAACTACTTAGAGAAGTCTGACTGCTCACTTAATCAAAAAGCTGAGTGCAAATAAATGTATCTTTATGACAAGGTCAAAGACTCAGCCAGGGCGTTGAAGGAAAATATAAAAATCAGATCTATTTAATCTAGAAAAAAAAATAGAGAAAAAGAATATACACACAAAGGACTTTTCTAAAATCTTCAATGTTTGTTTTTTTCCTTATTTGCAATAAGAAGACTGAAATTTCAAACCATCCAAAATATTAAATTGCTTTGAAATATTTCCCCTCATATCTAAAAATTAAAAATATTTTTTCACAGTACATTTTATTTTTGAAATTTTATTTTTGGAATAGTTTGGTCACTGAAGATGTAAACTGTCTACACCCATTTTACTTTGATGAGTCTTCTTGAGTAGCATTTTTTAAACAACTTCATTTATTTTAGATTTTTAAAAATGTCATTTTATTTTTATATCTCCTATAAATTAAAAATGTTAATTTAAAATTATTGAAGAATGCACATAGCAATCTCTCAGTCAAAAAAGGATAATCTTTTTATTTCATAATGAATAGCCCACCAAGATATTTCTGTATGCATACTAAAGAATAGCTTAATTTTATTTCAGTAATCATTAGCCATGCAAACTACCTTTGTTGTAAGGAATTATAGCAACCAATGTGTGTAAAATTTTTCCAAGATTACACATGTATAAAAATTTTATATTCACATTATAATTTCTCCAGTAGAGTTTCTTATGTTAAGAGTTTCTTATGTGATTTTACTTATGTTGGTAAATAAATGTTTTATTTTTTTAATTTTGTTAAAATATTCTTGATATTTTGATTTTCAAATGAAACATTTACTGTTTGGTTCTCCACAAAAATAATGAATCTTTTACTATATAAATTGTTCTCTTTATGGCAACAAGTCTCCAAAGAAAATACAAACAATGAAACCACATTAGCTCAATTGATTTCCAAATTAAATTATTAGTGGCTTCTATTCCCTTAAGATAATGCCAAGTCATGAACTAATTCAAAAAAATTTAAATTAAATACACTATTTACCTACATACAGATATTCCCCTCTCCATTACACAAATGATGACAGATGACTAGAGTATACATTTTTTATCCTTCCAATTCCACATTCTTAAGGTTAGAAGAGGAAAAGGTGGTAAATATCCTCAAGTAAGCTATACTTAAATATATAAATTCATTTTGTCTCAATCCATATGATGCCTACATCATTAATAATCAGCTTACAAATTACAAGTGTTATCAAAAGCTGCACAGAAATTTTAAAAGAAAAATATAATAATCAAATTAGACAAATGATGTTATTTGTGCCTTTAAATATTTAGAAATATTTTTGAATGAAGATGGATGAGAAAGATGACTTTCATGCTCTAACTTGTTACATAATCTTATTGTAGTTTAAACTGATCAATAAGAAAATCCATTTCAAAGATAAAGCCAGATTCCAAGAAAAAGGTAGATAAAGTCACTATGAAATTACCAATTTTTTCCTTTATTTTTTCTTCTAACTGATTTCCCCTTCTTCCTGTCCCCTTTTCACCAGATAATCACATCTAGCCCCTCTACATTTCCTTAAACTCTCCTGAAGGAATGTCCTTCATTTCCTTAAATAGCACACATTTCAGGTGAAAGTGAAGGTAACAGGAATTAGTAGCTGTCATCTTAGAGACATGTTACTCAGTATTCTCTATATTAGTCTGAAGAGCTGTAACACAGACAGGACAAAGAGAAATAACCATAAGAAAAATATTATTGACAACTACAATTGTGTCAAAATATTGGTAACTACAATGTGCATCTCTTTGTAGAACCTTTCCTTTTCATTAAATTAAAAAATGACTCTATAATCTGTTATAAACTAAAATGTCACATAAAATTTCATACTATAGAAATGTTTTCTGTAGTTTTGATATGAATATAGAAGGTTAATGAATGAAGCAAACCACAGGCAATGATACAGGAAATTGCTACTGTATATTATTTTCAAAGCTGAGCCAGATCTATATATAGAACACAAGATATTTCAAAATGAATGCTATTTGTTGTCTTTGTAATTTTACAGAATATTAGAACATTAAAAAAATCCTAGAAGTATCACATGTTCATACCAAGATATATGTGTATGCAGATGTACATATACAATCAGATTTTAAATAATAAATATTAAATTATTTAAAAACATTATAGAGCTATACCCCCACACCCCTTTTCTAACAGTAAGAAAATAATCAACCTGCATGAACTGGAATCAGATTCATTTTCTTCTTCACTAGTGCCATCATCCACTTCTGGTCTATCCAGCCAATGTGCACCGCCACAATCTTCTGCTGTAAACTCAAATGCAGGGACTTCAGAGGTGGATGCCATTGGCCAAGAAGGTGAATTCTGAAAATCCAGTTGGCTGGACCTTCGGTAACCAATTGAAGCCAAAGGCAATTGTAGGCTACATGGATCTAAAAACTTTCTCCCACCGTTTGCGCCAGTCTGTCCTCGGTTCCAAAATTCTCCCTGCTGGCTGTCAACTGTAGAATTAGGAGATGATGCTTGATGGCCAAACCACCTCCATCTGATTTTCAAAATCTGTTTCACATCAAACTCTTTACGAGAACCAGACATCCTCAGAGAAACCAAGTGATCGTCTAGGCAACGGGCAAAAAGCACTGCACACAGATTTGTGCATCCAACCAAGACAAGAGAAGTATATGCCCTGCTGTACACAACAAAAAGATGTAAAGGAAAATAAATCACATTTATATATATATCTACAATTACTTTTATGCCAATATATCAGATTTTAAAGAACAAAGGATAATGAATAAACATGAAACACGGTGGAACATTCCGTTCAATCAGAGCAAACTCTCATCCACCTATCCTGAAGCAGCTAGACCACTTTCCTGGCTCTCCTTTCCCATACTGACCATTGGGTCTCACAAACACTGACAGCATTCATTAAAGTCCTTTCAAATGCAGAACACCACCCCCTTTTCCTTAAACCACAAATGACAGAGACAGAAAACACGATCCCCCTTGCAGTATCTCAGTCTCCGCTGCTTACTATATTAACTCTTTTATTGCTGAAACTCTATAGCATTTCCCTTTGTACTTAAAAATAATCACTTTAAAACTAAAATGTTTCCATTTCTAAACTAAGTCCCTAAGTGAAATACCACAAAACAAGTTTTTTAAAAAGCATTTGTAAAATTAGATGAGTTATGGTGATTTTTCAAGCTGTGCTCTTTGGGTGGGGAATGAGGAGGAAAGGGGAGTGCAAAGGTGGGGCTCCAGATTGTTGCCTTCACCTCTATCTTCTCCCTTCATAAAACAAATGGATCTAATTAATATAGTAAGATCCTGGGTAAGATTTCACTTGGATAAAGAATAAGAAGTCTGAAAACTACAAAGGATCAAAAAGTAACAAATACTATTTTTCAAATAAACTGAGGCCAGGAATTCTCTATAAGTAGAAATGGGCCACTGCCAGTTAGTGTAATATCCAAATGTCTATGACATTACTTAGGAAAAGGAAAGTGCGGCTCAAAAAAGCTACCAGGGACTGGGATGGGACTATTGGGTGTACAAGTGCCCTAATGGTGCCCTCTGTTGTTAGCAAAACAAACAATGGTTTGAACATGGTTACAGTTAAGGCAAATTGATAAAGCAAATAAAAATAAATCAAACTAAAAAATACTGAGTAGTTATTGTGAACAATGCAATCTACTAGGCATTGTCAGGGACACAGAGATATATACATCTTGGTTCCTAACCCCCAAAATAATTAAATCTAGCCATTGAACCAAATACAAAATATTTGATAAGGTAAAATAAGAAACATTAAAATGCTGCAATATTAAAGTGTAATCTATCGATGCAGAATTTGAGTTTTCAGGGTGCTCAGAATTTACTCCTTTATCAATTAATTCCATACAAAAGGCGATGCCTATGTAAGCTGACCAAAAAACAAAAACAAAAACTACTTTGGAGGTTTACAAAAATATTGTGAGGCATATATCTTAACCTCACACAACTCTTTAGGAGAATACAAATTATTCAGAGAAACAAGAATGAGAAGCATAAAAACCTAAGTACAATTTCATGCTAAATAATACGGGGAAAACCATAAAAACTGTATGAAAGAAAGGAGATATCAGGATGGCAATGGATGGTATGGGCCAGTTTCATTAGGGAGAAGGCTGCTAAGAATAGTAAAATGTTGTTTAGGTAGAATGACAGATTTCTATAGAAAAAGATTCTAATAAAAGCATGAGGTGGGCATATCTACAAGGAAGAACTGGGAAATAATCAGTTTGATCAGCCAGCCATACCTAATTAATTTTAAGGTGTAGTAAGAGATGAAGTTAGATGAATACAATGAGATAAAATGCCTTGAGCATGCAGCAAAGGCATTATTGAATGGACTGTTGAACAGGACAATGTTTTAGAAAATTAACTTGGCGGTACTGTGCAGGACGCATTAGAGAGTGAAATGACACTTTCCCCTCTCCTCTCACCTTTGTCAGACTCCTGATCAACACCCTTCTAACTTCACTCTACCTATCCAACTTTATTTCTAACTATTTTCCAACATAGACACACCACTTCATCGGTCAAGGCAGTCTACATTATGGTGTTCCCTCTTTTATAACACTGTTTGCCTCCCAGAGAAACTCTGGTTTAAAAAACACACTTCATCCTTCAAGGTTTAGCTCAGGCACTACCATCTTTGTAAACACTTCAGTTACTCTAAGTAGGTGGTTCTCAACAAGGGAAGCACCAACCTGCTCCTAAAGGCTTCTGGAAAATGGGTAGTGGTGGTGGTAGATTTTTAGTTGTTGGAATGACCAGAGAGTGCTATAGGCATTGAGTGGGCAGGAGCCAGAGACAGCAAACATCTGGCAATGAAAGATGATACCTTTATTTTGTCAATCCTCCTCCACTCATTCCCATGGTAATCATTGTTGACGCCAAGCTTGGTACATACAGCCTTTCACACCTCTCTCCATGTTTAAAAATCATGGACAAACTTATATACACATATATAGGAGTTTTTGCTGTTGCTATAAGACAGATCATATTGTATTCATCTTTTAGCATTTTGCTCTTCTCATCTAATTTTATATATACATGGAAATATTAATAATCTTTTTAAGAGTTACATGATATTTCACTGCTGTAAAAAAACAATTTATTAAACTATCTCCTTGCTAATGGGCATTTAGGTTGATTTCAGGTTTTGGGGTTTTTTGCCATTAAAATAATGTTGAAACAAACATCCTTGTGAGGCTTTTATATCTACAGAATTTATTCCCAGGAGTGGACCTGCTGGGTTGAAGGTATGTGTATTTTATTTTATTTTATTTTATTTTATTTTATTTTAAGACAGAATCTAATTCTGTCACCAGGCAGGAGTACAGTGGTGCAATCTTGGCTCACTACAGGCTCCATCTTCCGGGTTCACGCAATTCTTATGCCTCAGCCTCCTGAGTAGCCGGGACTACAGGCACGCACCACCATGTCCAGCTAATTTTTTATGTTTTTACTAGACATGGGGTTTCTGGAGTGCAGTGGCGTGATCTCAGCTCACTACAACCTCTGCCTCCCGGGTTCAAGCAATTCTCCTGCCTGAGCCTCCTGAGTAGCTGGGATTACATGCGTGCGCCACCATGCCTGGCTAAGTTTTGTATTTTTTCAGTAGAAATGGGGTTTTACCATATTGGCCAGGCTAGTCTCAAACTCCTGACCTCAACTGATCCGCCCGCCTCGGCCTCCCAAAATGCTGGGATTACAGGCGTGAACCACCGTGCCTGGTCATATTGTCTTTTTAATTTTAGTCATTCTGACAGGTGTGTAATGGTATCCCATTTGGTTTTCCTTAACATTTTCTTCATTATTAATGTGGCTGAGTAACACTTCATGTTTATTGGTCATTTGGATATCCCCCATGAAGTGGCTATTTAGGCCTCTATTTTTTTTTCTATTAAGTTATCAATCTTTATCTTCTTGATTTGTAGTTCTTATATTTCTGATATTTCTTTATAAAAAATATGAGGTAACCTTAAACATTAATGCCTTTATGGAATGAAATTCAGCATTTACTTAAAAAACACCTTTTCTTCTGTTCCAACAACTTTCACCAATATAAAATTATTTTGCCCCAAAATTTATCCAGCTCTGATGACAAGTATTTCCCAGGAAAATTATTTATAAAAGATCAATATGTATTAAAAACCATTACATTGTTAAATTATCAAAATGGTCTTCACTGACTACTCTCTGTAAATTAGACCCTTCATCATTCACAAGCCCGCTGACCCTCCTAATTTTTTTCATAGCGCTTACCACCACCTGGCATATTAGATGTTTATTTGCTTATTATCTTTATCCTCACTACAAAGTACGCTCAAGTGGAGCTTTGTTTTGGTTATGACTGTAATCCCAGCACTTAGAATAGAATAGTACCTAGGAGACAGTAAGTGCTCAATAAATATTTCTCTAATGAATACATAAATTATTCAACAATTATAAGAGCAATAATAAAATCCAACAATTGTAAGAGCAATAATAAAAGTAGATACTTATACTGTCTATTTTTTAAATTATAAAATAAATTAAGAATCTAATTTTAAAATTACAGACACATTTACCTTGGTGATAAAATCTTTTTTTTTTTTTTTTTTGAGACAGGGTATCACTATGTCACACAAGCTAGAGTGCAGTGGCTCGATCTCAGCTCACTGCATCTACAACCTCCTGAGCTCAGGTGATCCTTCCATCTCAGCTCCCAGGTAACTAGGACTACAGGCACCCGCCACCACACCTGGCGAATTTTTGTAGAGCCAGGGTTTTGCCATGTTGCCCAGGCTAGTCTTGAATTTCTGAGCTCAAGTGATCCACCCACCACAGCCCCCCGAAGTCCTAAGATTATAGGCCTGAGCCACGGTGCCTGGCTGGCAAAATCATACAGTATTTTTTCAACTTAGGAGAAAAATCACAATGTTATTCTAAGAATTTCTTTTTTCTATTCATTCTTAAGGCATAAAATTCTATCACTTGAAATCCAATGGCTAAACAGCAGATGTCTTTTCAAGTAGACACACTTTCTTCAAACTAATTACAAAGTTATATTCTGTACCTCTGATTTTATAACCTTGCTTTATTTCAGGTTAAACTTGAGATACAAAAGCTCAAGTATTATTTAAAATAGATAATATGTGTCAATTATGAATACATTTTTCAAAATGTAATTAAAGGACCCATGTGCAATTTGTTTCAAAACTGCTCAAATCTTAGTCTGTGAATTTAAAAGATGACACTATTCAGTATTACAATAGAAACACTGAAATGTCATTAAGATAGACTGAAGGTGAGCTAACTTTAACAGCGTGGCTTTTAAAGCTATGTCTTTACTCAATTTAAATCATGGCTATTTGGTAGCTAGTTTATATTACTAATCATCATTACATCAATCTCTCTTCACATAGAGTTTTTTAGGTAACAGTATTTATGGCTCATCAATTTTAATAAATCTATTTCTAAAGTTTTAAGTGTGTGATATACACTGCATCAAAAAACATCAAGAATTTTACCATACTAACCCAGCAGCTCTCACCTCTCTGTTTTTCCTCAGTTATAAAAAGAGTAAGTTGCATTGCATGATTTTGAAGAGCCCTCCAAAGTTTAATAATTCTGGGATACTTTTTAAACTTTGTC